AAGAATATACTAAAATGAATTTGGATTAGAATATTTACAAAAAAATTTATAATTATTCATAATTTAATAATTTTAAAATTGAAAGTTTTTCACTTTAAAATTTTTTCACTTTAAAATTTTTTATCGACTTTAAAATTACCTTATCTTCTAATAAAAATGTCCAGCTATATGTGCCCAATCTGTACTCGTACATTTTCATCAAGGCCTAATTTTTTGATCGTCGCTCTTAGTCAATCAAAATCGAGAATCTGCCAGTCCAAAAGCTATGATTAATAAACCAATGTAATTTGCGCCAATTAAAAAAATTCTATTAACAATAATAAAATTATAAATTTAAATAGAACGAAAACATCATTTTTAACTTTATTCTAATCGAATCAAATGTTCTATTATTTTCAAAAAAGTACGTTTCCCTCATTTTTTGATAACTTTAGCTTTTAATATTATCGGTTTGAATTTAAAAAAATATTCGTATTCTTTTATAATGTTTATAAGTTATAATTTTCAAAAATTTTACGACCAGAATGATGATAATTCGTCAAAAATTCTAATATAATACACGTGTATAAAAAATATTGGCTTTTTAAAAGATAATAAATCTCAAATAAACACTAATACAGAAATATGTTAGCTAATAAACACGTACTATAGTTTATAAAAAAATATCTTAAATTGAAAAAAAGCTTTCATTATAATCTACGCTAAATCGTATCTTTAAAAAAGAATAATAGCAGTGCTCCTTATTTTTAAAGGGCGTCACTTTTAAAACTAAATTTTATAAGCTTTGTTAATCTTACATCTTTCCGAAATTACTGTAATATACTCTACTTACATATTAAGTACGGTCAACTCTCTTTATAATGAGCCTTTTTATAATGAACGAATTAAAAACTTAAAAATTACAGTAGTCTGTATAGAGAGAGTCGATTGTATTCATATTTCAGTTATATCTATCTTCAATTCACAAAGAAAATAGAAAACATTCAAAATACAGGACGGTTGACGAAACACACTATGCAGGTTTTCATTCCAGGAAATTTTACGAACTTACCGTACATACTGAAATAAAAGAGATCATTGTGGCTAATTAATGCGCCACCAACCTGGCACACATTCAAGAATTGCCTTTCAGTTCCAATTTCACAATGATAACAATAATATTACGTTTTTCATCGTTTTCAATTTCAGCTTTATTAAGATAACAATCTTCACTTTTATGTTCTATAAGCATTCCCGCAAATCAAGTTAAATTAAGAACTTAAATCCCAGTGTGTTTATTAGTGTTATTATGTTAACAAATTATAAAATATTAAATTGAAAAAATCTTTTAAGTTTTTATTTTTACTATATTCTATAATCATAATTACATAAAAACCTTATAAAATAAATTACTTTTATATAAAACTATTAATTATTAATAAATAAAAATTGTCCAGCTATAGCACCAAAAATTACTAAATATAAGGATAAATATGGTTTTTTATATCCATATAAAGTAGCCAAAGCCAAAATATATAACACGGCTGCAATACTACTATTTTTTGCTAGAAGAATAGGTAAATCTTGTTGTGATACATTAGCAAGACCTGTTGTAGATGTTATTGAAGATTTGAGTAAATCCATTGCAGTTACAGCAATAATTCCAACAACAGTTCCAGAAATACCATCAAAAAATGCTGATAGAAATCTATTTCGAACTAATTTTTCAAGTAAATTATGTTCTAATATTGTAAATACAAAGCATGGAAAAAGCATTCCTACGGCTATGAGTAAACCACCTAGCAAGCCAAAGCCTATACTATGACCCCCCCAGAGATAACCAGCTTGAAAACCTATAAATGTGGAGAACATTACTGTTGGTGAGGGAATTATGTTTCCAATAGCAATAGAATCAAGAAATGTTGACACTGCCATCCATTGTTCTATTGTTACTGCTTCAGCTGTAAGATATTAGGGTCAATCTATCAATTAAAAGTTTTCAAATATAAATTAATCAAGGATAAACAAATAAAGAAGTATACCTTGTAAAAATGGTATTGTTACCTTTAAAATGAAATAAAGAAAAAAATTATTATTTTATTAAGAAATAAAATGAATGATTATAGCCATTATATATAATAAAACTTACATAAGCACCGCCAAAAGATAAGCTGCCAGCAACAAGTCCCAAAGCAAAGGTGTGACCAGGATCAGGTCCACTACCAGGTTCAGCTTTAGCTACACCAATACCAAGAGAAGCTGGAGATGGAATAGCTCTATTAATTCCAATATAAATTCCATAACCAACTAATTCTAATAAAATTACAAATAATCCAATCCAATATAACTTCTTTCAATAAACATAAATGCTATACCACATACACCTAATGTTATAAAATAATTAAAATTTACAGTAGTTTGAACTGCAGCTAAAATCGCTATACCAAATAACCAATAACTAAAACGATGGGATGTATGTGATATTAATGCATGTTCAGCAATTTTGTGAGTAGCTCTTAAAACCATTGCAGATACAATTGGCTGTAAAGCTCGAAAAGATGCATTAAAATAAACATTATCAAGTCCAACTATAACATAAATATAAGAAAATAATAAAATAATAATAAAACCCGGTAAAACAAACCCCATCCCACTAAGAAAACCACCAAATCTACCACCAGAAAGGCATCCAAAAAACATACATAATTCAGTAGCTTCTGGACCAGGTAAAATTTGATAAACACCAAAGACTCTATTAAACCTTGCCACTGTGATCCATTTTGTTGAATTACTAATGTATCTTTAATTAATGCTATTTGAGCCATAGGACCGCCCCAGGCATTAAATCCAAACCAGAGATTAAGTAAAAATATATTTAAATAAGATAATTTTGGAACATTTGAATTATCTTCAAATTCATTACTTGGGGGTTCAATTGCTTCTTTTTCTTCTTCAGTATGGTTTGTATCGTTGACAAGGCTTAAATCAGGTTCCTTTTCTTTTTTTTCTTCATATTCTTTGTTATTCTCATCCGTTAAAGTAGGAATAATTGTAACATTAGTCAAATTATTTTCCTGCTGTTCAGGATTGGTATCATACGGCGAGCTCATTATTAATGATTAAATAATTAATCATAAAAAATTTTTTAGCAAAAAAAAAAAAAAAGCGTCAGTTAATTTCGGTAATCTCCCCGTATAAATAATTATTCACGTGTTTAATTTCGTGATAGTAGTGCCACAAATAATAATTTTTAATTCGGTAATCTTGTAAAAACTTACGTGTTTAATTTCGTGAATAGTGGTACGTACCACAAATAATTTTTAATTCTTAGATTGTGATACAATAGGGTTTGAGAATAACTAATCGAAGTCAAAGTGCAGTACATACCTTAAATTATTTTGCCTTAATACTTTATTTAGTTATACTGCACGCACACACATACGTATTTGTTTAATGGCACTATCGAAATATTTTGCTCGATCCGTAGTGTAATGGTTGCGCACATGTATAAAGCAGATCGCGTATCTGCTTTTTGCCGTGAATAGTTAGATCGTGCTATTTTAGCATCTTTAAGTAGAGGTTCTACAGCCAAAAATTCCGGGAAAGAAAATTTTCGAAAATTCATAATGTTACACAAATTTTGAGCTTGATCCGTCGACGTTACACGACTGATATTTCACCCGGTGTGCAACATATAAAAAAATGATTTTACAATACCAGATCATTCCGCTATTACATGTTATGATTATAATCCCACACCATTTT